AAATCTTGTAGTAAAAATCAAGAAAAGAAATCCGAAGAATAGCCCTAGAACTACCAAATAATATTGAAGATAACCTGTTAGACTGGGTAAATACTTTGGGGCTCCCACAGAAAAATGAGGTAAGGCTTTTGCTATTTCAAATTTCAATGATGACAGAATCCTATCATGTTGACTTGACTGTGTTCTGCTGTGGTTGATAAGAAAGGGCACATAAATTACTTGTATTTATTCAGATTATTATTTTCTGGAGATAGATAAGCCAAAAATACATTTCACATTGACCATGGATTAGACTGGCAGATGGGAATGACTAAACTGCTCCCAAGTTGAGCCAAGCCCATACTGGAGAACAAAGTGGAAGCTTCCACATCTCATTACTAATCTCTGCTCTTCAGGATTCAGAGTTGAATTATTCTGCATTAAGGAGAGAGTAACTCAGTTTAATTGCCCACCATGGGAATTGCTGGTAGAATATAGAACAGCATGTCTTGTCCAATACTCATACAGGGCTACTTTTTGTGTACACAGGATAAAGGTGGCCAGGAAGCCAGCAGGCCAACAACAACAAAAAAGCCTCTCAAATTCAGAACTTGAAAAATCAGGCCATGTGCTTCAGAACTGACTCTCCAGTCTCCTCTCCAACCCCCATCTCTATCGCCAGACTCTAACTTGGCTCATCATAATTATCTATTTTGTGAGCTAGTGTTTTAATATTCATTTTGCTCATGTTTTAATTCTTTCCTATAATTTACAAAACCCAAAGTTCCAGATTTATGAATCATGGTACTTTTGCACTAACTCTCCCTACCTTCACAGTCAAACAAGCATATTCTTACTCCATTTAACTAAAAAATGGTGTTCCTCATTCTCTGACTTTTAAACATGTAAAGTATTTTAAAAATAACTTATTTTGTATTATCCAAACAAGAACACTTAGAGAGTGAAAGGAGGTGCTGTTTGTCATTATTTCAGAACAATGCCCATAAACCAGGACTCTCCTGGGTGAATGTGGTTGTATAGTCACTCATCTATAATCTATATCTGTATCTAATCATCTATACCCATATCTATATCTATAGCTCTATCATCTATATCTACAGTCTATATTAATCTATCTATGCCTATATTAATACTTATGTCAATATATTCTATATCATCTATATATCTATTTCTATATCTACAATTGAATCTATAATATATCTACATCCCTCTCTATTTATGCCTACATCTAAAGTTATTCATCGATAATGATAACCTTAGAGTATCTCACTTTCTCTGTTTCTCTTCTTTCCTGTCTCTTTTAATCTCTCCCTCTTTTATTCATTTCTCATTGGGACACTCTCTCCCAAGACTCTTTCTTTTTCCTTGTAGTTTCTTTTTTTCCATTTGTCTTCCTCCCTTCTCCTGCTCTGCTCTCTCTTAACTGGTAGTAATAAGGAACGGAGAAATCTTAAATTTGCATCTATCATGTTTGTTAAATAATGTTTTCTGTTCCTTAAAACTGCATTTCACATTTCTCCAAGAATATCAACAAAAGTTTCCTTTCTCATAGTCTGAGTCTCAGTTTTACCATGTGGAAAAATGGAGATAATCATTTCTGTGTTGAAGCCAAATAAATGAGATCATGTGTTGAAGAGTGCTTTACAGCAGCAGCCATAGCTGTTCATTACAATTACCTGGGAAGCTTCTGAAACTCACTGTTCCCAGGCTCGACTGCAGACCTAGGCATCAAGATTTTTACTGATCCTCAGTTTATTCCAATGTGTGGCCAAGGTTGAGGACCATTAGTTTGTGGACTATAGGGTATTATAAAAACATACATTAGCATGTGTGTATTGCATCCTTCATTTAACCCCATGGATCAGTAACTCTACAGAAAACAGGTTACCCAGCCCTAACATAAATACTTGGATATGGAAGAGGGAAGATGAAACTTGAAGACATTTTGAACTCTTCTGGGTCGTGTTCTGAAAGGCTCATTATGTTAGAATTATGTCATTATTTAGTTGTCAGACTCTAACTTTGAACACACAAAGCCAACTTCCTCCCATAGCTTTGTCTGTCACTTGGAATACTTGTACCTCCATCAAAAACAATTGTCTGATGTGGGTTATTGTTTACATCCTAAGATGAGATAAAAAAAAGAAAACATCAAAATCTCTTCCAAAAAATATGCAAGAGAGTGAAAAATTAAATGCAAAGGTGCTAATTACTATCCATAGATTCATTTTCAAATTGTCCCTTTAACTTCTAAAACTAATAAGTACAGAAATATTACACACTGCAAACCTGGGCTCCTGATAACTCTGATAATTAGAGTACCTCTTTGTAATAAACATTACTCAGTAAGTTAAAAAAAAAGACAAGAAAAAGGAATGAAAAACAATAATTATCATTATTTATAAAAGGCATTAGTGATAAAGAACAAACACTTTCTGAAGAAATACTGTTCTTGACATCTTAAAACTTCTGAGAGGATTGTAGAAGCTTACTTGTCAAGTAAAAAGAAACTGCATGGATTTGGAAAAATGACACTGGTGACTTTGGTTTTAAAATTTGCATTTAGTAATCAGTGCAGGTTTCTCTATTAAGCTGCTGACTTGCTCTTATGTTTTAACAGTGGGCATTAGGCCAGTGTAAATGTTAAACTGACACCCAGTCTGGCTCTTAAAAATGTTAATGATGCTAAAGGTAATGTATGAAGGTAGAGCTAGCTGATGTTCCCAGAACGTCTAACCAGTTGACCATAGTTTGGGTTTCCACCTATTGATTCAGTGACGTGGAATGTATGGGAAGCTAAATCCAACCAGGGGAAAAGAAACATCTGTTTTAATCAGAGAAGTCTAATGCGTACCTTCATGAATCCACAATCCATGTCTTTTAAAAATTATTTCTTCAGCGGAAAATTTGTATTGTTTTGAGTCAAAGCATCTATGTCACCTTGACTGAGCCAACTGCACAAATTCATAGCCATGAATAGATGGTACAATATAATTCACAATATAATATAAAAAATACAGTCTTCCTAGCAGCATAATGGACTTGGACAAATGGTATGAAATTATCAATTTAAAATCTAGGGTTTGAGCCAAACTATTGGCCTTTCTTATCATCTTTGATATTTCTGGGAGGCCCTGTTCCTACTGCCATTTCTATGATAGTATCTCTATGAGCACATCCTCAGGAAACTTTGGAGAGCTAGGGGGCCACTTTCCAGTCATGTTCAAGGGCATCCTGGATCTTCCTGGGATGGAACAAGGAGTCGAGCATCTCAGAAACAAACTGTGCCCTGAAGGGGTGGGAGTCCTGTCCCCTGTGCAGTAGTTCTAGGGAAGGAGAGAGAGTTGGGCTTCAGAGACTGAGAAACTGTCCACAACACTTACACGTGTTGTCTCGCTTGCTGCTTTCCAACAATTGTCATTTGTATGTGCTGGTGGCGGTGGGCAGGGGTTGGTACAAAAGACCAAATCCCTTAGAAACAATTTTGGCATATATTTTTTATGAAAATGACCCTTCACTTCATGGTGATCCTGTGTTTGGCTAATCAGTCCATAATCAACTTGACTGGAACAAAGAACATAGCATGTGTTTGTGAAATAATATATTTTTCTGGCCTCCAATCTCTGCTCTATTGTAATCAGGCTAGAACCAGCCATGCTTCCTGATTTCATATATGTTTCATGAATTTCTTATAATTAAGGATATTTTGCTCAGGTGGGAGAAAAAAGCCAGTATGGACCCTTGCCATTTTGAGAAATATAAATGCCCTTATCATAAAACTGCAAAAAACCAGACCACTCTGTAGCCACTCCAAGAAACAGTTTGCTAGTTCCTCAAAAAGTTAAACATAGACTTTAATTTTGACTCAGCAATTCCATATGGCCCAGCAACTCCACTTCTAGGTATGTGCCCAAAAGAAGTGAAACCAGGGACTCATATAGATGCTCATATACCAACATTCATAGCAGTATCAAAAACGATATGCAAATGGTGGAAACAACCCAAATGTCCATGAATAGATAAATGAATAAACAAAATGTGGTCTATCCACACAAGGGAATATTAAAAAGTAAAAATAAGGAGAAAAGGAAAATATTCTGACATGTGCTATAGCATAGATGAGCCTTGAAAACGTTATGCTAAGTGAAAGAAGTCAGAGACAAAAAGATAGATATTATATAATTTCATTTATATGAAGTCCCTAGAACAGGTTAACTTATAGAGACAGAAAGTAGAATAGAGGTCACCAGGAGGTAGTGGGAGGGAGGAACTGGCAGTTATTGTTTAATGGGTACAAAGTTTCTCTTGGGGATAATGAAAAAAGTTCTGGAAATGGATAATAGTGAATGGTTACACAACATTGTGGATGTATTTAATGCCACTGAATTGTACACCGAAAAATGGTTGCAATGGTAAATTTCATGTTATCTCTCTCTCTCTCTACCACAATTAACAAAAAACCAGAGCACCACAAAAATCCAAAACCTAAGCCAACGTTAGTGTGAGAAATTTATAATAAAACAGATAATGTACATAATCCTTTTAGCTGATTTTTTAAAAATTACAGATGAGAAAGTAACATTCCTGTCTTGACCATTCCTAGAAAACTTTGTAAATGAAACTCTTCCTGCATGTCCATCCAATTTCGGTTGTTAGTCTCAGACAATGAATACAACTTGGACTAATATTTAACAGCGGAAAGTTTTGCTCTGAGCCAGGGTTACCATGCTACATACACAGTGAGCTGTCACTCTAAGATGGTGCCTGTCCAAGAATGAAGCAACCCAACATCATAATATATAGAAATGTAAGTGTATAGAAATAAGTACAGAAATATATAGAAATATAAGCAACTGGTTTAGGAGATCCAGCTGCTTTAATAATGGCCTTCAGATGCCTGTGAGTGCCTAATTTAAATATGTTCATTCTTATAAACAAATCAAAGATAAAGAAGTCCATTGGCCAAGAATTCTATTGTTCATGCCATCTGTTTAACCTACTTGATGAAGTAGTCTCGCCCATCTCGGTTTGCCGTCATCTCCCATCCATAGGGCGGCACCTGGTTCAAGCTCCAGGGTCCTGAGGGAGGCGGCCAGCCTGAAGACTTCGTCCTGTGGCTGGAAAAGAAAAGAAATAGAAAAGCATTATTACACCTGACTCCGGAACATTCCTTATGAGACAAACTCTGAAAGGAGAATGTGACTTACTCCTCTAAATTGTGGGCTGTATCCTCAAATGATGAAATGAATAATTATAAAGAATGTTTTTGTGGGAGGTAGTGTGCCAGGCATATGATTTTCTACATATTATCTCATTAATTTTTCTCAGGAGCACTATGAGGTAAATATATTTTATATATTTTACAGATGAGGAAACAGTGAATGATTCGGTAAGATTAAGGAACTTTCCTTAAGACACACAAGCCAATTTTGAACAAAAGCTCTGCATATTTCCTCCCATACTAGACATTCCTGAGGTCAGACATTAGGATAGTTTGGGCATTGAAATAGATTTTGTATCACAATATAAATACATGGGAAACTATATTACTGTTTTTATAGCTCTTCAGCAAAAAAATCCCAAGCTTCAGTTTCCCGGACTCCTATGACCAAACTACAAGATTTACACTCGTATTAACCACACACCAGTCAAGGTAAGTCATAAAAACTTAGACAAAACCCCAATTTAAGTTACAACAAAAATCTACACATTATCTTTTACAATTTCTAGTCTACCAGTTAAATTCAATTCAGCAGCCAAATGAAAGGGTAGGTTCTGGAGAATTTTCTAGATGCCTGCCTTTCCAAGATCAAGAAGAAAGAGGATGTAACTCCATGTAACAAGCAGTAGCAATGGGCAGCCTTGCAGTCACAGTCTGTAACCAGAGGCCTGAGCCCAGTTTCTGAAGCATCACTGACTCCTGGCAAATCTTCCTCAGCCCAGGATCTGCAGAAATCCCTTCTTGCCCTCATGACTGCCCAAGACTTCCTTAGACCTTAACCATGCTTTGGAAGGAAGTAAATCATGCAATTTTAGCATGGCTCAACATCCCTCATCACTTGGTCCTTTTACTCCTGATGAAGTTACTCACTGCATAGCCTGTGAGAGCCTTTGGGTGGTTCCAAATTTAAGGCTGGTACCACCAAAGCTAGTGGCAGGGAACAGTAGATGATGCTTTCAGGGACTCAGTCTCGGCTACCAGAGAGCCCTTTGCAAAGAAGAAACAGTGCCCCTGCAGTCAGATGACTGCAGAGCGGGCACTCTTCCCCCAGCCTGGTGCCCAGCCTGGCTAGTGAGTGTGGCAGGTGCTAACATAGCCAGGCACTCTCGCACTAGGTACACCCTGAACAACCTCATGTGGTAGCCCTTTTGCAGCAAACATCCAAAGCAGGAGTCAGCCTTTCAGACTTTTAAATTGCCCAGGATATTGGGCAATTCATCCCTCCCCAGCCCAGCCTTTCAATACCTCTTAAGCAAAACAAGCCTACTTCCTGTATGTTTTCTGTAGAGGAACTATTTTGTATAATTTTAACCACCTCCATTTCTTTTCTTTAACTTCCTTTCAGTTTTCCTACAGCCTTCATCAAGGATGTAGGAACAGTTTTTTGTTTGAAAAAAGTGTTCACAAATTTAATACTGGTCTGGTAAGTGTTGAATGCCACCATAGGATTATTTGTGGCCAATTGACTACTAAAAGACATGGCAAGCATCTTGTTCCTCTTCTTTGCATAAAAGCCAGCAGTGGCAATTTCCTCTGGTTCTTAAAAAAATGTGCTGCTTTCCTGCAGTGAGAGAATACATGAATATTCTACCCTGAGGTACTATTAAAACACACACACACACACACACACACACACACACACACACACAGAGACAAAACCAAAACCAAACCAAAACAAAAACCTACCAATTTCTCTACACTAGTAGAGAATGCATTTGGAATGCTTTCTTAGGTAATATCAAGAAAACGAGTTCTTACACGTATGAACGCAGTCTATTCTATTATTAAAAAACCATTCCAAAAGCAACAGTACAGTTAGAAATGGCACAAAGAATATCCTTGTGAGTGAAAGGAGGCCTATGTAGAGAACGCAACAATTTATTTTGGCATACTCAATTATGTACAGTATCAGAAAGCTTATCTTCCCCAGAGGAGGCTAACTTATTAAAAACAAATAAACTGTCTTTCCTTTCTTTTCCTTTTCTTCCTTTTTCTTTTTCTTTCCATTCTTCTTCCCCTCCATGAAATCTTAATCACTAAAAGAGAGACACAGGCCTCCTAATATAATTTACATGTAAAGTACAGCATTATAATAACAAGTTGGAGGAAGCCTGAATTTTATTATAAACTACATTGTCCTGTACAGTATGTTTGGGAAGCAGCTAACAACCGTTTAGCAAGATATTTTCAAATAAAGCCTCTTGTCATAAAATGCCAAATGAAGTGCCAATACTGGAAAACTCCACAAATGCAAATCAAGTGAATCTAGCTCAAGGACTATCCCCGATACAAAACAAGTAATTGAATAATTAAAATCAAACATGGCTACCTGTCTGTCCCATAATGTGTTAACACAAAATACATGGATCTGAAAGGCCTTAGTATGATTTGGCAAATTAAAAGTGCAAGTAGAAAATAAAACACCCTTTATAAGTATTTATCCATAATAACCTTGAGAAAAGTTAACGACGCAGGTCATAATTGCAGAGGGATTTGGCTCCGGCTCTAGCAGTGTGATGACTACAAGTCCAGCCCTGACAATGGCCAGTATGAGGATTTCAGGCAGTCATAATCCAGGCTTTTATGTATTTCCCAAATTGAGGTGAAAAGAAGCACCTGGCAGCACTTGTTAAATATACAGATTACCAGGTACCAGAAATGATGATTATGATTCAGCACGTCTGGATTAGAACAAGAAATCCATGAATAGGCGTGAATGCATTGAAACAAGTAATTCAGATAATTCTTACTTTCTGGTAAGGTTGCCAGATTTAGCAAAAAAGCAAAGCCAAACAAAAATACCCACTTAAATTGAATTTCAAATAAATAATGCATAATTTTTAACATAAATGTTAGTATAATTTCATTGTAATATTTAGGATATACTCATACCAAAAAAGTAATGTTATTGTCTATTGAAAATTTAAATTGAAGTAGGCATTCTATATTTTTTAATTGACAACCATGGGGTTTGGGAAATACTAGTGCTTGCTACCCCAAGTTTAGGCTGAGATCTGGTAGCATGGGTACTACCTCGTGATTTGTCAGAAATGCAGAATCTGCATTTTCTTGAGATCCCCATGTAATTTACATACCCTGGAAAGTTTGCGAGCTATCACCCGAATCAGTGGTTTCCAATGCGATGCATCAGTATACTTTGGAATCCCCCGTGGAGGAACTTGTAAACTACAGATAACTGGAACCAAAGCCAAGCCATTGAGTCTGAATATCTGGGGATACGGCCTAGGCAGTAGTATTTTGTACTACCCAGGTCAGCCAAAGTGGCGATCCACTGCTCCAAGTAACTCTACCTTGTTTTTCAATTAGCTGACAAGGTAGGAGAGGAAGGGTATGGTGATCAAGAGCTGATATGCTGAAGCAGAGAGTTTGAGAAGAATAGTCCCAGGGCCAGCAATAGGTGCGTCATCTGGAAATTTGTTTGAGATGCAAATTTTGGGGCACCACCCAAGACCTACTGAATCCAAAACTCTAGGGTGATGGGGGTGACCCAGCAATCTGTGATTAACAAGCTTCCACAGAATGCTGATGCCCACTCAAGTTTGAGAAACACTGGGTTAGAACCAGACTCTCTTCAATCCAGGCTCTGCCATTTATTTTCCACGACCTTGAACAAGTTACTTCATCTCCCTAACCTCCTCAGTTCCAGTTACACCTTAGTAAAATGATGACAATAGGACCCATTGGGAGAATATTAAGTGAGTTTTATAAAGCACTCAGTATGTGCTATAAAGTCTTTGCTAAATAACTATAATATAGGACTTTGGGTGGTTGTGCAAGTATAAATGGCTTTAATCCATCTTTAGAAGAGAAAGACAATGAAAGGTTCAGTCATCTATTTTTCTCCATTCTGGCAAGAGCAGGGCAAGAAGGGGCTTAACCAAGCAGTCACACCTTCCCAGAGTGTCAGAAGGTGATGAGTTCAGCCATTCTCAAGGCAGGAGGAAACATCAGAAAGTTTTAACCAGAAATCAGAAATCCCAACTGTGTGATCCTGGATGCAGCATGTCCATTTCCACTGGTGTCAGGCAAAGCCTTAAGAGTCCTTGCAATTCTGATGTCCTGTGACTTCTATCTGAGGGCATGGCTGCGTGAACCACTTTCAAACACTTAGCTCAGCCTTAAAAATAGCGACCTACATTGGCAGGGCTATTTAAATCACTTCAGAAACTCTCAGCGACTGACTGAACTGGTTTGCAACTTTGTGCTTTACCCATCTATTGTTTGCAACAGATTGAAACCTTCCTGGACACAAAAGATCTTCATACTTGATAGGAAATGAGAGCAGCTATGAATGGTACAGACAAAGTTGCAGAACTATTTGTATTGCGACCATTAGTGGAAGCAACTAGTTGTTTCCTCCTGCGTACATGCCTCTAAGTCCTGGGCGAAATCTCGATGGCCAGCTTGCCCTAGAAGACAGGCTTTTAGGAGGCACCTGCAGGCCTCTTTGGTATTTGAGTTTCCTTAGGAACATGGCAGTATCAGAAAAAGGGATGCTGTAGGGGAGAAGCAATGTGAGGTCAGGTTCCAAAGTCCTGAGTCAGATTCAAATTCTGCCTCTTAGTAGATTTGCAATCTTGTGCAATTTACTCTAAACTCTTTGTACCTTATTTTCAACACCTGTAAAGTAGAATTATTCTAACTCACTGTTTTTCATTCGGGGGGTGATTTGGCCCCCAAGGGACACTTAGCAATATCTGGAGATTTTTGGTGGTCACAACTGAGGGGAGGAAATTGTGTGCTTCTGGCATCTGCTAGGCAGAGACTAGGTATATTGCTAAACATCCTACAATGCAGAGGATACCCCCTCACAAGATAGAACTATCTGGTCAAAATGGCAATAGAGACAAGATGAAAAAACCCTGTTTAGCTCAT